AACAATGTTCAAGAATCAGTGACAAAGTTGAAGTTGCGCCGGGGCTGGATACTTCAACAAGACAACGACCCTAAACACTGCTTAAATTCTACCAAAGCATTCATGCAGAGGAACAAGTACAACGTTCTGGAATGGCCATCTCAGTCCCCAGACCTGAATATCATTGAAAATCTGTGGTCTGTTTTAAAGCGGGCTGCCCATGCTCGGAAACCATCAAACCTGACTGAACTGGAGATGTTTTGTAAAGAAAAATGGTCAAAAATACCTTCAACCAGAATCCAGACCCTCATTGGAAGCTATAGAAAGCGTTTAGAGGCTGTTTCTGGAAAAGGAGGATCTACTAAATATTGATTGTAATTTTTCTGTTGGGGTGCCCAAATATTTGCACCTGCCTACTTTTGTTTAAGTAATTATTGCACACTTTCTGTAAATCCTATAAACTTCATTTCACTTCTTAAATATCACTGTGTTTGTTTGCTATATGATATATTTAATTGAAATTGCTGTTCCGAACAACCAATGATACATAAAGGAAAATCTTGAAAATGATCAGGGGTGCCCAAACTTTTTCATACCACTGTACACTGCAGAGAGTGTGAAAGACACTAGCAGTAGTTCAACAGCTAGATGTTCCTGGTAATTTGTAGTGGAAACACTTTTTGAATTAAGATCTGTGGTAAATGTTCAAGAGTGGAGCTGCACACCTGCTAGATTGTCAAGCATGTAGTTGAGAAGCTTCCTGGTTCCATCTGGCTCCTGGTACAGGTTGAGAATGTCCTGTGACAAAGGGTTTCCTGCACAACAAGCAGGTCCAATATAGTTATATATAATTCAGTGTGTTTTCCAAATGTTGTCTGGATACGAACTGCACACACTGACCTTTCAGTCCCAGTGTTTGGAGCTGGAACAGACGACCAAGTTCATAAGGCAGAACCCGCAGAAGATTGTTGTTTAGAAGTAATTCCCTATCAAAGACAAAGACACCACAGAACATTATCTCTCTCTAATGTTCTGACACAGACCTATGTGATATTACCTCACATATCACTCATATGTTAGAGAGCACTTTGTCCTTAAAACTATTCACGTGCACTCAGAAGTAAACTAAAAAACCTTAAAACAGAACAAAAATTACAAAACAAAATGTAAACCTTTTTGTTGTGTTATTTGAAGGATTAACACATTAACATTTCCTTGGGTATATGTGAACAGAGCCTTCTTTCAGAGTACACTAAAGTACACTAACTGTCATGTTATTTTGTGACTTTATAAAAATCCTTTTTACATTTACTCCAGTGACGCTGGTCAGTGAAAAATACAGCTGAACTATCTTTTCAATGCTGTACATTGAATTGTTTGTATTTCTTTCTGCACTTTTGATAAAGCCCATTTTTCCCTAATGACCCCGAAAGCATCACGGTGCAGCCCACCTGAGAGAGACCATGTTGCCTAGCTCAGCAGGCAGGCTGCGCAGCTTATTGGAAGACAGATTCAGGTAGACCAGATTGGGCAGCTTGGCAATGTCGGGTGGGATGTGGGTCAGGTTGTTGTCGTTGATGTGAAGTGTTGTGATGTGAGTGAATGTCCACAGAGAGCTGCTCAGGCGCCTCACTCTCCCTGAAACATCACAAGAACAACACCCAACGTTTTTAGAGGTTTTAACGTTTGTCGCAAACGTTTTTTAAACTATTCATATTTTTCTTTTAACACAGTGTCTGAATAGGTTACACTAATAGGTTAGTCTCCATGTAACTCCTGATCAGAGGAAAAAAACAAATCATTAAATGTGAGTACATCATGTGAGAAACCTACAGCTGTCTGGAGAAGAACTGAAAAGTTGATACTGTTCTTACAAGTAATTGACACTGATTCTGCTTTAGGACTGAATCAGGCCTTTCACTTCAATTAGGACTGAAGTGAAAGGCAAATCATTGCATTAGTGGTTGCATTGATTTAAAAGACAAACTACAAGACATTTTTATTAAATGTTAGACCTTGTTTCGAGTCTGACCTACATCAGACAATGTATTTACCGTATTTTCCGCACTATAAGGCCTGTAAAAAAAAAAAAAACCTGTAATTTTCTCAAAAATCGACAGTGCACCTTATGTATTACTTCTGGTTGCGCTTACTGAGCTCGAACTGATTTTATAAAGCCAAACCACACAGCGCATCACACATGATGGCACACAACTGAAGCACACTGGGAGCCAACAATGACGTTTAACTCCATCCATCCATCTATCCATCCATCCATCCATCATCAACTGCTTATCCGGGGCCGGGTCGCGGGGGCAACAGTCTGAGCAGGGACACCCAGACTTCCCTCTCCCTCGACACTTCCTCTAGCTCTTCTGGGGGGACCCCAAGGCGCTCCCAGGCCAGCCGAGCG